GGTAATAATTAGTTACTTTCAGGTACAGAAGTATTGTTTTGGGTGACTGAGTTGTGAGTTTGTGTCAGTGCTTGTCCTTACAGCTTCAGTTGCATGGTGGGTAGGACTAGTAACTTTGACAATATAATTAATACTGTAGTGAGGGTAAGTCTGAAGGTCACCCAGCATGTGGCAGATATGGGATTACATGTAACTGGGTGGTAGGAATTCAGGAAGCGGAGTAATACCTGATTAAATTACATCATACTATTCCCATTTACAGTTGCAATTTAGTCATGAAAACTCAAAACACATCTCAGATGTCTGGGAATGAAATTTCAGGAAAACCAGAAATACTTCCCAGAAGTCTGAAATCTCCTATTTCTTGTTTGAACACACGAACATAACATGTTCACAAATGACCAAAAGATATGTTATGTCTTCTTCCATTTTGAACACATCACTTTGTGGCCATCACAGGAGAGGGAGGATACCGCACCTTCAATCTGATGACACGGCACAGTCAGACCACCATGGTGCCACAGTGTCTGCCGGGAATGACAAAGATGTGGAGGGGTACAGTCTGCTTCACGGAGAGGGGAACGAGAGAGCTCATGGACAGGACCTCGGTAAAAACAATCATCAAAAAACACTTAGAGGAGATCACAATGATTTCAATTATGTATACATTGCTTGAGAACTTGCATCATGACTTTCTTGTACCAAGGAGGTACACAGCCAAGGTTTTCTCTCTTGCCAACATTTTTGTAGTCTACCTCAGGACAATAATGACAGGAGCTTCTCCACACTTACAGGCAAACCTCTACAAGTGACCAGCTCTACATAAGGACCACCTGCCAAAACATTATTTTTCACATTATAATAACAGAAGCAATATGAATCCACTCTCTGGTCCTCTGTTTTTAGACTAGTTTTTAGGTCAGTTTTGACTGTACATCACTGCAGCAAAAAGCTAAATTTGTAAGGTTATTGATATTCTAATGATAATTTGCAGGTACGGCCGGCTCCTGTGTGAGGGCCTTTGCTCCCATGCCCTTCATGTTCTGTGACATCAACTTCCAATGTCACTACGCCACTCGTGATGACAAGACCTACTGGTTATCCACCGTCTCGACGCCGGCTGAGATCCCTGATAGCCCAGTGCAAGGCATGGACGTGCTCCGTTTTATCTCCGCTGCGTGGTGTGCGAGGTTCCATCTACCGTCATGGCGTTCCACAGTCAGAGCTCCGACATTCCCGACTGTCCCCTCCCCACACGGGACCATAGGTGGGAATCACTCTGGGAAGGATTCAGCTTCTTCATGGTATGACCCTCCATTGTTTTATGAGTTATGCTTGAAGGCTAGGCAGTACAGATGTTGGATTTCTTGTTTAACAGAAATATTATTTTGGGTCTGTTTGTCCAAACAGAATAGGTAGGTTGAAAATATGTGGCTGGGGAAGATTGACAGGAAGAATAAAAGGAGATGGTGTTAACTTTCATGTTCAGCTTTGGAATGCATAAACAGCCACTTGTTGTCCAAATGTGTATGTTAACAGCACATGGTTGGGAAGATTGACAGGCTGAATGACAGCAGCTCAAAGGTCTCTCAGAACCAGTCATCAAGGGGGAATTCAGGAAGCCCAATACTGGATACTTTCTTGGAGTCTGAAATCTCTGATTTCTTGTTAACATCGATATTTCCTTCCCCCAGCACACGGCTGCCGGAGAGGGGAGTGGTCAGATCTTCTCCAGCCCAGGCAGCTGTCTGGAGAGGTTCCGCCCCGCCCCCTTCATCGAGTGTCACGGAGCCCGGGGGACCTGCGGATTCTTCGCCAACAAGTTCAGCTTCTGGCTGGCGTCTGTTCCCAGGTACGGTAACATTACTGCCTTCATTGTGATCAAGATGTTTATCAGTGGTGTTGGTGACCATTAAATGATCATCATGACGTCTTTCCCTCACCTGCTTGTTGTACCTAGTGGTGTAGACTGTAGTTCCTGACACATTACAGCTGTTTCCACCAACTCCTCTCTGCTGTGAGGACCACCACACATCTTCCTCTATAGCAACAAGAAATCAGAGAATTCAGACTCCTGCGACCTTTTGTAACCTTCGAGATAACTCAATTTCCTGCGTCTGACATTTAGACTTGTCATTCTGCCTATCAAGCTCCCCACCCATGTGCTATCAACTTACTCTCAACTTCCCCCCATTTCCTGTGTCTGAAGTTTCGACCTGTCATTTTGCCTGTCAATCTTTCTCCACCCGCGTGCTGTCCACCTGTCTGGACAGACATATAAATTCACAGCTTAGACACCCAAACAATACTTCCGTCCCATGAGGTAACTAACCTGTTTCTCGTCTTTCAGAGATTACAACCCTGACCAGAACCGTGACCCGTACGAGCCGCGAGACGGGCCGTGTCAGGAGATGATCCGCACACAGACAGCGCGGACAGAGATGGAGAGGATGGTCGGCCGCTGCCGCGTCTGTATGCTGATAACCGACCAGATCGAGTACTCTATCAGAGAGGCCGGGCCCCAGATCGGTGCCGTGCCAGGTTACTACCCCAGACAGCCGCTAGGCTAGATAACTTCTCTGTAATCATGTAGCTCTCTCGTACATCTTTATAATCATTGTTAGGATAACGAGGGATTAGCAAACATCAATACCAGATTGTTCACTGAATTGTAGTGATTTTGTTTCCCTAGATTCCTTCCTGTACAAGTCTTAGTGATATCTTTAAAGGTCGAGGTACAATGGCATACAAAGAACCATGGTGATAAGTTTCATAGGACAAGTCACATGTTAGACAAGTGGTGCTATAAACCAAGGATACAAGTCAGTGACTGCCAAACCACCCTGAAAAAGTGTTATACACTTTAAGAATAGTCTATGAAGGTAAGGAATACAATACACAAATAGTCTTCCAAGCACAATATTACCTCCTAGTACAACACAGTATAGTCACATACACCTATTAAAAACCCTAAATAACTAAGTTAAATGTTCTTTGGGCTAAAAGAGATAACCCCAACAAATTATGATACCTTCCCAAGAACCCAATAACTTTGACTACTACAAATCCTTTCACCTTAATGTATAAAGTCACATACCTCAAGTTGTGGTCTTAATACTAGACTCTATAGCAAGCTTAGGCTTTTCTTTGCTTATTCTGTTTTTTTTTCCTGATTGTATAACCTCCTTGGTTATTCTGATGGCTGCTGATTTTCTGGCAACTGTTGGAAAACTGGTGGCTACCAGAATACCATATACAACAGTAAACAGAACATAATAACCAAAAAATAAGCCAGGATGAAGGAAGTAAATTTACCAACATTTTCATCCATACTAATGCTATGTTCTTGTACAAGTCTGTGATTTCATAGCATGTACAAAGGTCTTAATTCGAGGGAGTTGTTTTTAATTACATTATCTCTTGTTTTATCCCAAAGAATGTGACATGGTGCTCCTCATAGCCTCTGAAAATACTGGTTCATTGCTAGGCTAGTTTTACAGGTTTCATCATTAAACATCTGTAGTTAGGGTGTAGTAGTTGTAGTTTTTCAAGCTTGTGTTGTTTCTTGAACTTTTGATTTTCTTTCTAAAGTAATAAAATGATTTTGTTGGATTCAACGGTCTGCAGATTTAACATATATTTTGCCAGTCTGTTTATTTTGGTTTGTATAATGCTACGTGTTTGAGATTAACTGTCCATGGTCTAAAAGGTTGAAAAAGGCAAAAAGAATCAACGAAAAGCTTTAAGTAACATTCAAACCGGACAAAAAGGTTGAAAAAGGCAAAAATCATAGGCCTGTCCTAATTAGTGCTGAACCACCATCACATACAAGAATGGGGTCTGTCCTTGGTGCTGAACGCACTGTCCCCGGACGTAATGTGTACACGCGGGATTCCGAGCGATCAGGCTGGCTTGTGAATTGCTATCACAAATACAACTGTCAACAATGATTTCTCACGTTTTAGCCCTTAACCGGCATGCATGGTTGCAACGTGTTATTAGGTATGTACAGGAGTTGTTACACTAGAGTACGTAGTTTGCTGTTGGATGTTTGGTAAACATTGCATCAGAATTGTAATGTGATATCTTTTCCACAGAGACGCCGCGCATTCATAAAGGGTCAAAATAACCCAAAACAATGCCTTTGCTTGAAGATTTATCACAGTTTTACCGAAAAATCTGTTCAGATTAGTCTGATTGTGTATATAAAGTGATCTGTCAACGCGTAGCCCAACAGGTACTGTGGCCCAGCAGCTGGTGCAAATTCCGCAATGTGGCATGGCAAGCCAAGATGGCGACGTCCTGGACACCCAAGTGAAGAAACTGATGAACTTCCGTAATTTCAAGACGTTTCCTGTCAGTTTTATGTGGTAAGTAATACTTGACTTTGTTTAACATGTTCCCGCGGTCATTTCGAGTATAATTTGACAGAAAATGTGAGGTAACATCGTGAGAAATGAACGACTCTTTCTGAGCACTGTATGTTGTGTATTCGCCACTAGCATGCGCTCGGTTACGTGAACAGCCCTACTCTCCAAGCATAGGTTTAAGGCTCCGGCTTACGTAGTTTCAAGACGATTCCTGTCAGTTTTAGCTGGTAAGTGATACATGACTTTGTTTAACATGTTTTCGTGGTCATTTTGAGTATAATTTGACGGAAAAGTGCGATGTAAAATCGCGAGAAAGAACGACTCTTTCTGAGCATTGAAACAGTTGTGAACATAGCATTGAAAAATTCGTAAACTCCGACACATGCAAGACTCATCATTTTCGTGTTTTCCCCTTCGAAAATAACTAGGCATTGTCTTATTCATCCTTTAATTAAAATTTACTGTTTTATAGTTAATTTTTCACTGTACATAGAATGGCTGTATTATGTTGTTGTTGTATTATGATAATGGTAAAATGTCATAGTTGGCTGTCAAAACCTGGAATCATTGAATAAGTATTTGGACTATAGTCAGTTCATGAAGAGATGGCAATTCTAGTCATAGAGTGAATTCATCTTTATTCTTGCTTTTCTAATCTAATTTCCATGCCGGTCCATTGTTCTTTTTCTTCTTACTTGCCTGATAAAATACTATTACAAAGTGATGTAGTCTCTAGTCAATTCCTAGTCACTGAGAGGATGTACATTGCTACTGTCTACAGCTGCTTTCAGTTCTTTATGATTACTTTTGTGAAGTACAGGGTAAAATTCCCATACATAGATGTCGCACCACAAAACAGCCACTAGTGACAAGCAGTGATATCTAAAAACATACAGAAGCAGGCAATGGATTTTTAAAGATTTACAAATAGTGTGTCGTAGTTCCCAACAATTTGAAAACAGTTTGAAACTATTAGCATTACTTAGTCAAAAGCATTGCGCAGTGACTTGGAATCAAGTTTTCATTTCATTTAACTTTCCTGGTTGCTTGATGACTCCACAGCTTTCTAGAACAGTTGATGCCACATATTCACTGCTAAAAAAAAACAAAGCTACTTTTGATTTCAATACAAAAATATGTTAATATCAAACAACTAAAATGAATATTTCACTATCATGTCAACAGTTTGAGGTCCAATGATGGAAAAGTATCGCTTTGATAAGATACAAAGTTATTCATTTGGCTTACCAAGATAAAAACTAGCTGACAGTGAGTTTCAATACATGGTGTTTGACAAAACCTGCATTCACTCCTTTCTTCACATATCTTCTCCTTATCACCTCTGCAACCTTGTCTAGCTCCTGTGGGTTGTCAAAGTATCGCTGCAGGTTTCTTTCTACATAATGGTCCTTACCTGTGACCAACTGAGCTCTCAGCCCAGGCAGCTGGTCCAACAGTGGAGTGGTAGTAACTGTAGTAACAGTAGTGGTGACAGTAACTGTAGTGGTACTAGTGGAGGTACAGGTGGTGTTGGTTACAACAGTGGTACTAGTCATGGTTGTAGGGGTAGGTTCAGCGGCCTTGGCTTTGACTGTTCTCCAGTGGTCGTGGACTTCCTCCTGCATTTGAGCCTTGGTCATGCCCTGCACAGCTTCCTCCTGTCCAACATTGTTCCAAAACTGTTTGTACTGTCTTTCCTTGTCTGTGGCAGAGCCTGTAATGGTACATTAATGATAAGTGATCCAATGTTGATACATAAATGCATCTGTGATTTCCTATTCAAATCAATTGCCTTTAGTCACACTTTAGGAATGAGATCAAAATTTGGCATGACATAGATTGTTGCAGACTTTTGTCAAATATCCTAAAAATTGCCCATGTCAATACATAGCTGGTGTGTTGCACTGAAGGGCTATACAGATAAAGATACAGACAAAGAGTACACAATAGAGCTACCATAAATAAAGCTTAAAAGGTAGGGTGCCCGGGAAGAGATTGATGTGCACTTTAAAAAAATAGAAGGTAAGAATGTAGTAATGTAGATGTACTCACTTGCTATGTCCTCTTCGCTGTATACGTGGAACTTTGATGCGCTCGATGTACATGTCCACTTCCTGTTCTTGGTGAATATCGGGTATAATTCAGGGGGTGGGCCGGTGTTTCCGCTGTTGGACGAGGGGGGATTACCGGACATGATAGCCCCCTCCCGATGATGACCATTACGGTTTTGGCAAGTAAAATATGGAGACTGAACAGAGGTACTAGGAGGGGAGGATTCACTAGAGTTTGAGGTGATGGGTGGATGAGATTCTGAGGTGTTGGCTAAGGGTGGGTGAGATTCACTAGTGGTGCTAGATGGGGTGGGGATGTCCTTTGGGTTTTCCCTCTCCATCTGGATGGGATCAATGGAAAAGGTATCCATATCAAATGTTTACTTGTATCTAAACATTAACTTTATCATAGCCAATTAGCCAGATTGTTGTCAGTCATTTATTGTTTTGTGCATTGATATCAGTGTCAGAATTGAGCTTTCTCCTTGAGTTAATCAAGCATTCCTTTAAAATTCCTTTTTTGTGGGAATTTCATTTCACAGCAGGAGAAATGAGGTTTTTGCTGAGTTTTAAGTTCACAGTTGTACAGTACTAACGCGCAGGAGATGCAGATTTGTAGTTGCAGATTGTTGCAGATTATAGAACAGTTAAAGACACTCAGTCTTTGTGCATACATGTATTAAGATTGGGTGCCAATGAATTTACAAATTTTACAAAATTAGTAACTTACCCTCAAAAAACTGTTGACTGGTCCATGCAAGATGTGCTGAAAGCAAGAAATCAAAGACATCATAAGGGGAGTTTAATTTTTAATATTTTAATGAAAATTCTGCTTCTCTATTTCTGCACACATACAGAGTTTTACAGTTACTTCATAACAATGAAACAGCTACAGTGTATCTTGTTTTAAAATAACTCAAATGTCAATGTTTATCTATCAGTTCCTGGCTTTGGCTGCCAGAAAGAAGGACTTCCACTGGAAAACCAAGGAGTAGTCAAGAGGGTGTTGCAGAAAAGTAGAGTGGAGACGTCCACCCTGCTGTCCCCCCACCTGGAGGCCGTATCAGATGAGCGGATGAAACTGATGAAAGGTGGATCTGACTGAAGATTTCTGCAACCCACGCCTACAACTTTCGAGGCAGGTGAGTTTTATACTCATGCCGTGTTTGTCGAAATTGACTTGTAACAATCAGGGCACTGGACTGTGTCATAACAATTCGTCAGGTGCATACATACATCTAGGCATTTCAACTAAGGCCACACCAAGTAAATTTTATGGATGACGTCCGCGCGCGCATTGATTTTGGCCTGCTCCTAGAAAAAAAACAAGAAATTCTGCTTCCTGTAACTATGACCAAAGAGTCACTACAGTGCCTCAAATCGTCAGATTGACGTGAAACCCGTAACGCGAAAACAGGACAGGACGACATCTGCTGTTCCACCTGGTTTATTGCTGTTTTGATGATGAATAAAAGACTTCTTGCTTGTTACACTGTGTCACCTCATTCAATTTGTGTCCTAACATTTGTCATCTCTTAGTATATTTCCAATCTAGGCATCTTGTTTTTTAGGGCCTTTTTTTCGCCCTCTCGCATTAGATTTAGGGTCTCCAAAGGACGTCATCCATAAAATTTACTTGGTGTGACCTAACTAAAAAAACAAACAAATGGCCACAAGCACAAGTTCCAAACAACTAGAATGAATAGTATGACAAAAGTTCAAAGCAACCCCAATATACCTGATACTGTAGTAGATGTTCTATGCTCTGTGCGATGACTTCCCCCTCGGGAGTTGTGAACAGACAGTTGGCGATGTTCTCGCCCTGCCTGGTAGCCTCATGTCGTATGTCCTGGAGGGTTCCAGTGGCGGTGTCCATTCGAACGACGAAAAAATCTGTTGGGTTGTTCAGGAAGATGGCAACCATGGTGGCCAGTTCTGACGACATGATCTAGGACAGTCAAAAAAGAGTGAGTCTAAAGTTACGTATCAAGCTGTTTTAACAAATGAATAACAATATTCTTTGCTCTCAAGATTTCAATGCACTTATATATTTGCAACAACATCTTGCTCAAGGCTATCATATTTTTAAATATTAATTTTTAGGCATACATTCTGACTACCGGTAATATTAAAATATTAGTCAGAATGTATGTGCCTAAAAATTAATCCACTAAAACAAGAAATCAGATATTTCAACTTCCATGAAGTATACAATGCTAGGTTGCTTCTCAAGATTTGCCGAATCCCCCCCCCCCCCGTGTTGACCACTAATTCCTGTTGTCTCCCTTCCCCACACTGTGAGACCTTTGACCTGTCATTCTGCCTGTCAATCTTTCCCCACCACTGTTGGAACCTCTACTCTCTTATGAGTAGACTCTGGACAAACAGATAAACAAACCCACAGCTCAGCGTCCAAAAACAATACTTGCATGCCAAGCAGTAAAATAAAACATGATTTTGTTTTCATGATTTTGACTTTCACGCCTAAACCTCACCTCAGTGATCTCTCCAGGGCTTCCATCCACATCTGGTGAACTCAAAATTCTTAGTAAGTAAAGCTAGTGCCCTGCTACCTGAATTCAAAGGTCTTCCAATCAAATTTGAGTCCTTTTGGGGCAAATTGAACATGTAAAACCTGGTGCCAAAGAGCTGGGATGGTTGGACCCTGATAACAGTCTAGATTCCTGGTTATTCCACCTCAAGATGGTAAGTTTCCCAGCATACATAAGTCTTAGCAACTATTTCTGCTAACACCCACAGTGGCCAACACCCCTGACCTGACTGATTCATTCCACATGGAGGTGAGGGACCTCCCAAAGAGAGTGGAACAGACTATTCTATAAACCAATGGGGGTTACACTTAGGAGATTTTACAATTTCACTTCCCTACTTCTCCTCAGGATGCTGACAAGTGTTTGTTTTTTTGTTCATTTAATATTTGGAAGACATCAACTAATGCAAAATATAAACTCAAACAGAAATAAAGATCTTCAATGTGCAGAAAGAATGGTTACAAGCCACCTACAGACTGAGTTGTATGGTATCTTCCTAATCAATCAGCCCAACTCTTGGTATGAATTTCTGTGACAGTCTTCTTATCTGTATGGGTGTGGAAGGTTTGTAGCTCTAAACAATATCCCATATAACATGTTAAGTTTTAAGTAGTTTGTATGACATAGTTTTCTGGCAGTAGATCATTGCTCTCTGAATTTATAGTTAGTGGTTCGTTCCACATATCATGAGTTACAGCAAGGACATTATACTATCCGATATTATGCACAGTATAATGTCTGTGTGTAATGTCCTTGGTTACAGTCTGTTGTGTTTGTTGTGCTGTGGAGTGTTTGAAGGGTTGTCAGAAAACCTACACAGTGTTTAAAGTTCTACAGCCTTTATGTATGTCATTTAGTATATTATCAATCGAGGATCAAAAGAACACAATTTGGATACTTTACCTTTCTGTCACTCACTAGCAGCAAGACTGTGCTGTGCTGTTCACTGTTGACGGCAATAATGGATTCAAGATCTGACTGACAGGCAATCCAGCTCTTTTGTAGTTGGCAAGTATCTTGAGGCATTGTGTGTCTTCATATTGTCACAATAGTCTTGTATACGTAGATGAAATTGTATACATAGATGAATATGGGCCAATCAGAGGGGGCATCCATGTGCTAGATTGTAGTGTCATTATTGTACAAAGGAAAATGCTAATTTCTATTTGATGGCAGTGTCATCTTTACTAATTGCCAGACAAGTAGCAAAGTCATGTTTAAGAACAAGCTGACTGATTATGTCACAAAAGACAGATTAGCATATTATGACAATTGGCATAATGCAGTTAAAACGTGACTAAGGCGGTCTAAATTTTAGTGTACAGGAGGTTATTTTCTTTGCGATGATCTGTAGAATCATTCACATAATCAATTTTTGAGCCAATGAGAGTTTGTCATTGCCTCTTTTCAGAGAATGATAAATGAGAGGCTAATTTGCAGAATTACATACTTAGCAGTATTTACTAGTATCACATCACCATGCTACATGTAAAATATAATTCAATGGATATTGGTTTTCCAACATCGGCTAGCTTTCCCTGAAATACAGTAGACACTGACAGTTAGGAAAATGGTTGTCAGAGTGAATATAGTCAGACTCACGTTTTTTTCCACAGTCCTGTTTTTTTTTTTTTATCTTGTCCTTTTGCTAAATTTTTACTTGAAAATGTTTGGGACCCCATCGATAACCGCCCATAAAATGAATCGATGTGGGCCTAATATTTGGGAAAGATGGTTACAAAGCTTTCCTGATTTAACACCACAAGCTGCCCCTCCCCACCTGTAGCAACATGCTTGGGTTGATTAATATAAGCTATGGTGCGGATGTGCTCTCCCTTTGCTGTGAACATCTCCACCCGGCTGTTCCCAGTATCAGCCACAATCACACGCCCCAAACTGTCCACACAGATTCCTGAGGGGTTATTAAGATTCCCTGCTCCACTACCTGGCCTGCCAAAACTGGTAAGGTGGACTCCATTCTCACCATACTTAAGAATACGAGCTTCATACTTGTCTATGACGTAAATGTTCCCTTTCATGTCTATGGTTATAGATTGTTTATTTGATATTACATCTGACCCTGTCCCCGACAACCTGTTCATGTTACATGTTGGTGTTGTTGTTGTTGTGTAAGTAGGACTTAACCACACAATCTCTGTGGGCCAGGCTCCTTGTGTCAGTATGATTCTGTCAGAAAGCTCGTGCCAGGCAATCCCATAGATTATTTCTTTACTTGTGCTGCTGCATGTAAACTTGGCAAGGACATGGCCCTCTTTGCTGTACTGTTGGATGTCATATCCCTCCAAAACGACCCACAGGGTATCGTTGCGGCCAGTGGATATGGCAACTGGTTTTAAGTCTCTTGTGGAGAAACTGCGAATGAAAACTCCCTTCATGCTGAAGACCTGGATACTTTTGTTGCGCTCGTCAGTCACAAATATCTCGTTAGTCGAAGACACGGCCAGTGCTCCCCATTCACAAGTGTCTGATGTGTCCAACTGTCTGGGGTCTTTTTGAAAGGTGACGACGTTCTTTTTCACTTCTGCCGGTAAAACAGAGGAAAACACTCAGTGTAGTGGGCACCACTTTTTAGACTATAACATATAGATTATACTGATGGATCGATCGTTCGATAGATAGATAGATATTATTATTATAAATAAAGAGATGCGTGACTCTTGACAGTTCGGCACTTCGTTATTAGAAAAAGTTGTAGATAGTATCGTTTTGAGATGAAGATATTGTAAGTCCTCATACTATGAGAAACAATAAAATTTACCACTGTAAAAGACTGAAAGTGATTACAAAATGTACACTGTTAATTGTCCACAGATGTTTAGGTCCAGGTCCTGAACTTTAACCACTGTATCCTGCACTGTATCTGTCCCTAACTTTAGGCACAGAGCGTAACCAAAAGAAGACAAATAGATATCTGTACCCACCTTCACAGTGGTATGTTACTTCCAGGTACTTCTTTATGCCCAGACAGCGTTGAATGGCGTAAACATTTTCTGGTTGCTCGTCACACTGTTGCAACCCTTGACATAGTTTCCTTACGTAGGACAGGAGGTCAGCTTTTGAACTGTTACAAAATGCGAATTACAACCATCAGTTATTGTAATTGAATTAAGCTAATTTGTATCAAATTGACTTGTTGAAATAGCGTCAGTGTTATGTAAATATCAGACAGCTGATTTAACAAATGTCATGACAATTTTCAGCAATATCTATCATGATATAGGTCAGACATCTCTGACTCAAGTACACCAGTTATACATGTACAACTTATATACATGTACATGCCAAAATGGCTAGAAAAAATTTTTTAAGACAAACAATTTGATACAAAGTACATTTAGTCAAGAGGAAATGAATAATCAGTTTGTAGCAAAAGTCTGATTACTCCTCCCAATGAAGAAAGAATATCAGATGTTACGAAAAAAGATAATAGTCATCAACCTTCTAGAGGACCTACATGTACTCTGACTAAATCTCACACCTAGTGGCCAGCCCACCCGACAGTTTTCAGAGGGCTGCAATCTTTAAAGTGGGATTTGCTCGGTTATGGTGCTACTTACTAGGTGTCAACAACTTGACACTTGTCACAAGACTGGTCCCTGGTTGTACATCCACAGCGAGGACCGTTTTCCCTCCGACCGTAGAATATATCCTCAATCACGATCAGCTCATTCGCTGCACAGGACAGTTGTAGGGTCTCCTTTGCGCAGGTCATTTCTGCATCAGTGATAGCAGTTTACCTTTAGGCCACACCGGTCTAATTTATTGGTTCTCAGATTTAAATTAGAAAAGTGTAAAGCAACAGGATGGAAAAAAGTGAAAATGCTATGACAACCAACGTCATCCTAGTATTGTACAGAGATGTACCAGTTTGTTAAAAAATTGTAACGCAATAAATAAGAATGTGCAAAACATAAATAATACACTTTTGAAAGTGTAAGAACTATAATTGGTATTTAAACCCCAGATGATACTCAGATAACAATTTTTTTCATACATTTTTGTACTTTTTACTTTGTATAGAATAAATCAAGTTGCTAGATATATTCTCAAATGTCTTACTTATTATTACTTTATAACCACTATGCTATAATATAAAGGATTAATATAAAGGGTTAATGCCCTGCCTTAGTCTCTGTTTTATGGTGCGATAACCACAGAATACTGAGGTGGTTATCGCACCTGTCCAGGGATTATCTCAACATGTACACCTCAGGGTGGGGCATTAACCCTTTAGCAATACATGATTATACTAAATCTTACTTTTGTAGGTACCATTGATAAACTCAAAGCTGGGTAGGGTGGTACCATCAGTGTTCTGAAGGGTAGGTGGGTTGGTACCATTGATACCACCAAGGCTTGGTGTGTTGGTCCCATCAGTGCTCCTGATGGTAGCTACATGTATCAGTTCTGTTGCATTCATTGTACTCGAGTTCTTAACTTCTTGCATAGTCTGGGAAAACAAGTAGAAAATGTTTGAACCTATTGTGCACCTATTGTACAGTATCCGTGATGTTAAAATGATCATGATCATAAAATCTTTGGTGTATCACCTGTTTAAGATTTTTAAGCCAGCTGAAGATTTTTAAGCCAGCTGCAGAATTCAGATTGAGGCAGAGAGAGAGGCAGTAATTCAAAGTTATTTTATTAGGATTTTCTGAAATTCTACCTCATTTTATGTTGTACCCCCCAAATTTTTTCCATGGGCCTAGAATTTAATTTAGATGCACTGTTACACCTATTACCAAATATGAATTTCGAGCCCTGAACTTTTGTTTGCTTTATTGTTCGGTTTTCTTCTACTCGTTTACTTGATGGGAGTATGACATAAATAGATGAAACTTTTTTGCTTTTATTTTAGGTGATGGCAACAATTGGTTCTTGGAATTGTCAGCTTCCTTTTTTCTGACTTGAAATCTTCTGAACCATCTCCAAAATGCTCATATTTTGGTCAAAACAGTTGATAAAAAGTTCCTAGTTGTTACAGTTGTTGCTCTCTATCAATGCATTGGTTTGTAGAAAATTAGAATTCATTGTTTGGCTTATAAACTGCCCTGGTATGTTGATGTCATGGCTATCATAGCTTTTTTGGCAATCAGAGGATGCATAGGTCAGGGGTTTTTCTTGCAAGAACCAACAACTCAAATTGGTGTG